GGAGTGCAGTGGCATGATCTCAGCTCACTGCAACCTCCACCTCCCGGATTCAAGTGATTCTCCTGCTTCAACCTCCTGAGTAGCTGAGACTACAGGTGTGGACGACCATGCCCAGCTAATTTTTGTATATTTTTTTCTTTTTTTTAGAGGAAGAAAGAGAGAAAGAAAGAAAAAGAAAATAAAAAAAAAAGAAAAAGAAAAAAAAGAATAAAGGAAAGGAAGAAAGAGGAAGAGGAAGAGGGAGAGAGAACAGGGGTGTTGCTTTATTGCCCGGGCTAAAATGCAGTCTAAAAATGGGTATGCCTGTAATTATGTTTAATAATAGAGACATAAAAAAATTTTTGTATTTTTAAAAGAGACAGGGTTTTGCTATGTTGGCCAGGCTGGTCTTGAACTCCTGACCTCAAGTCATCCACCTGCCTCAGCCTCCCAAAGTGCTGGGATTATAGGCATGAACCACCGCACATGGGCATCTCCTGCAATGTTTTACTATGATTTTTAGCTTCCTTGCATTGGGTTACAACATACACTATTAGCTCAGTGAACTTAATTCCTATCCATATTCTGATTTCTACTTTCATCATTTCAGCCATCTCAGTGTCAGCCTGTTTCCTCACTCTTGCTTGATAGGTGATGTGGTCGTTTGGAGGAAAGAGGGCATGCTGGCTGCTGGCTTTTTGAGTTTTCAGCCTTCTTGCATTGATTCTTTCTTGTCTTTGTAGGCTTATTTACTTTCAATCTTTGAGGTTTCTGACTTTTGGATTTTTTTTTCTTTTAACAGTCTGGCCACTCTTCTGTAAGCCTGCTGCAGTATGCTGAGGTACACTCCAATCCCTGGTTACCTCAGATTTTCCAGTACCTGAAGGTATCACCAGTGAAAGGTGCAAAACAGCAAAGGTGGCAGCCTGCTCCTTTATCAGAGAGCACCATCCCAGGGAGATGCAGAACTGTTGCTGGCCCAAATGCACTTGTAGGAGGTAGCTGGTGACCCTGGATGGAGGTCTCATCTATTCAGGAGGAATGGGATTGGGGACCTGCTTAAAAATGTAGTCTGGCCGTGTTTTTGTTGAGCAGCTGTGCTGGGCTGGGGGCATACTTCTGCCCCTGGTCACCTCAGCCACTCTGAAGCCTGAAGGCTGGAATGCCTGAGTCACCTGGACAGCAAAGATGGTGGCCTGCCTTTCATCCTGGGAGCTCTGGCCCAGGGAGGCCTGAAACCTCTGTCAGAGAACACTGGTGTGGGTAGCCGAAGACCCTGGTTGGGTAGCTCTACCTGGTGATAAGGAACAAGTTTGGGGACTCACTTAAGAAAGCAGTGTGAGCACATTTTCGTGGGGCTGTTGTGCTGTGCTGGGGTACCATTTCTGCCCCTGGTAGCTTCAGACACATCAAAGCTTGAAGGCTAGAACTGCTAAGATGTCCAACAACAAAAGTGGTGGCCCACTCCTCCCTTTGGGAGTTTTGTCCCGGGGTTTTTCAAATCTCTGTTGCCCAGAGGACACCAGCAGGGGTTGTTAAGGCCCCATTCGGGAGATCTCCCCAAGTGAGGAGGAACGGGTTGCAGACCCACTAAAATAAGCAATCTGGCCATGTTTTGGTAGAGCAGCTGTGCTGTGCTGGGGGATCCCTTTGGCCCCTGGTCAGTTTGGACTCTCCAAAGCCTGCAGGCTGGAATGGCTATGTCACCCAAATGGCAAAGATGGAGGCCCGCTTCTCCTCTTGGGTGCTCCATCCCAGGTAGGTGCCACACTGCTACTGATGGCTGGCTGAAATTCCAAGCCAGTGGGTTTTATACTGTGAAATGCCATTGACATGGGGCTTGCAGACCATCTCTGCTCGGCCCCCTGTATTCAGCTTCTTTCCTAGGGGTGGTAGGAAGTCTAACCTCCTACTCTGTTGGAGTTGCAGTTACTTTTGTTGGGAAGCCCAGAGCCAGTGTATTTAAAGCTCCCTGGTCTCCACATATGCCTGAGTGGCTGCTCTGCCAAGGCTCTACACAGCTCTGTATGTCAGATTGAAGGCCTTGGTGGAGTGGGTTCCTGAGGGACTCTTCTGACCCAAGGGTGGCAAAGGTAAGTGTTAGAGGCATTGTACATTCACTCACTGCTTCCCTAGGAGGGGGAGCTTCTCTTGGCTACTTGTCCCTCCCAGGTGGGCCATCATCTTGTTTCACTTTTCTTTGTTCGTGGGTCAAGTTGTTTCCTTGACTAGTTCCAATGCAAGTACCTGGATGTTTCAGTTAAAGGTGCTTTATTTACTCACCCCTTCTGTTTCTCTCCATGAGAGCCATCCACCCTAGCTGTTTCTAATCGGCCATCTTGGCCACTTTACCTCTCATTTTTCTTACTCACTATTGAGATCTTTTAGTAAACTTTTGTTGAAGTATACTGCATATACAGAAAAGTGCACAAGTAATGAGCTTAATACATTTTCACAAAGTGAGCAAGAAATAAACATTAACCACACACTGGAATCTCCCTCCAAGCCCCCATCTAGTCACTAATGCATCCCAAGGGTAACCACTATTCTGAATTCTAACAATATTGATAGTTTTGCATTAAAAAAAACTATGTAAATAGAATAATGTAGTATATATTATTTTATGTCTATTTTTTTGCTAACATTGTCTGTGAGAATAATCCATACTATTTCATGTAGATTATTCATTGACATTTATGTATGTACTATATTTTATGTATCCATTCTAATGATGGTGGATATTTAGATTGTTTCCAGCTTGGGACTATTATGAATAGTGCAGTTATAAACATTTTTATACATGTCATTTGGTTAACATATGCATGCAATGCATCTCTTGGATGTAATGTCATAAATTGTGCATACTTTTACTCTGAAAAAAAAATTAGGGGTTAGAGCCTGGAGGATAGTGAACTCAGCAAGACAAATGCTATCTTATGGGTGCCTGTTGGGAAAACCAGATGGTCTTGTTCAAGAGACAGCTCTGTTCATTTCCATGTCTCACTGACCTTAATACTTGACACTGCAGCTAGAATGTGTATTGCCTTAAATCCTATTCTCAGAAATAGCCAGTGGTGTCATTCTAGCAAGTATCACTCCAGAAAACTCCTTATACATGCAAAGGGATAAAAAAAACCTTTTTAAAAAGTCATTATTTCCAAGAAAAATGAGCAGAGCCAAGAAAAATATAATTAAAATATTTACCTCTCCATGCCTTGTTTCATGAAATCTGCTTTTTCATGGGTCTAAGCAAGATGATGGATATTAGTTGCTGAGGGGAGGGGAAAGTAAAGAGAAGGAGTGTTGCCTGGCATTCTAGGATGAAGATAAAGAAGTATAAATACAAAGAGACAGTTGCTCCAGAAGAAGATAAGAAAGGATCAGAATAAGTTTTGTCTCTGGAAATCAGAGAAAAAAAAATCTAATAAAATGGTAATGCATTTTCTTTTGGATTCTAGGATTGGCGAAGAAAAAAAATGAGTGACAGGTCTGGTGTGCTAGGGGGAAGAGAGAGAGGAAGGCACACTCTTGCATCACTACTGGTGGCAACCATGGCTCATTAGTGATGTATATCTCAGGTGACCAAGATCTGTGGGAAAGTCAACTCTTTTTGATCCAGCCATCAGCTCCCTCCTGTTGACCTGAGAGAGACATGTTTGCAGACAAGTGAAGAAAGAAGAAACTGCTCTGGTTGTGTGCAGGTTGGTGTGAGAATGAGGATTGCCTGGGAAGTCTTAGGGTAAGGATTGGGACAGAGTCATCTTTCCCTACACTCTCACCTCACCCACCAGCTTATTTTAGTTCTCTAAATGGTGCACACGTTCAGGGAGGAAGTTGGTGTTGGGGAGCTGAGAGTGAGAGGTGAGAGATGTTTGAGAGACAGAGTCCAGAATCAGTAAAAAGTAGCAACTATGGTCTATCACCCAGCCCTGTGTTCACCAACTCTGCCGATAGATATTAGTTTGTTTGTCTGTAGGGGGCAGTGCAACCCAAGAAAAAGGAAGAAGACAGGTTACTTGGTAGAGACTGAAGCAACAGTGTATTCCTTCAAGGAACTGTGGAGCCAGAACCAGTCACAAGGGGGTGGTACACACAAGTGCTAAACTGGAACTTGCCCTTCTACTCCTGTCCTGTTTTCAGAAAACGGTTAATCCTAATCCTTTATGGCTCTGGGAAAGCAATGCCAAAATCTATAGAGCAAAAAGGGGAGTGAGGTGAGGTAGAGCAGAAAAGTGCGAATTCATGGGAGAAGGGGCAGGGATAAAGTAGCAGGAGGCCAGGTTGGGGAAGATGGCTGTGCTTGAGACCTAAATGGGGGACTTTGGAAAGTTATATTCCTCACTCTGGAGTGGATGTACCTGAAACTTACAAGTCAGTGCCTTTACCAATCTCTATTCTCTTTTCTCTGGGTACCTGTGGACAATAAGATAAGTAAGGGAGGAAAGAAATTGCTTCACACAGTGTGATATGCTGGAGACAAAAAGTGGGACTAAGGTGTCAAAGGCAGACTACAGAGTCCAGAAATAATTCAGCTTCTGCTTCTCACAGCATGGGCTCTTACCAGTTTTCTCCTCTTATTTTGGTGCTGGAAAAAGATAAATGCTGCACTTATGGGAAAACAGTGGAAATGAGCTTGAGGGAGGTAAAATGCCAGAGGGGAAACATTTGAAAATTAAGACTATAAACCTAAAATGCAATAAAAAATATATTATTAAAAACAAAAAAATAAAATTAAGACTGTAAATATGGAAAAAGAGATACGGATACCCTTGTATCCTGTGCATTGACATATCTCTTTGGGGAGACTCATCTAAAAGCTCTATGTGTTTGCATTGCTGCTAGGTCCATGTTTGATGGCAATTAGATTGATTGTGACCAGGCAAAGAATGTCTAACAATCTCCTTCCTAGAATGCCACAACTAGATCATCTTTTTAAGAGTGATGCCCACCTGTGACTTGCAATAAATGTGAGATATACTCAAATTAGTGAGAGCAGATATGTAAGTCTGGCCTAGAAGTTGACACAGTGTTCATCTACTTATCAGAAGAAGGTTCAAGAAAGTAAGAAAAGCAAAAAGAGTGGGGGAGTTGCAGACAGAGGAGAAAACTGGTAAGAGCCCTGATCTGCAGTCAAGAGTTGAGGATAAGCCAAGCCCTAAGGATTAGCCTGCCAATAATCATGGACAGTAAGGACTCACAGCCTCCCCAAAAGCAAATCATCCAAATAAAAATGAATCACCTATTCCCCAATGAAAATAAAAATTTTTCTGGGTATGCTCAAAACTGTAAAAATGGCAGTTGTGTTCTTGACCTCTCCAAGTGTCTTTTCATTCAGGGAAAACTGTTGTTTGCCGAGACCAAAGAGGAGGTATTTCCATTTAGCCAGAATATCAACAGCCATTTGGCCAGCCTCTCAATGCTCAGACACACGATCCCCACTCCAGACCCGGCAGCTAGAGAGGCTTTGTGTGCCCCAGATAACTTAAATGCGAGTATTGAAAGTCAGGGCCAGATTAAGATGTACATCAATGGAGTGTGTCGGGAGACTGTGTCACGTTGCTGCAACTCATTTCTGCAGCAGGCTGGATTAAATTTGTTAATAAGCATGACAGTTATTAATAACATGCTTGCCAAGTCCGTTTCAGACTTGAAGTTTCCTTTGATATCAGAGGAAAGTGGATGTGCTAAGGTTCAGGTTTTGAAACTGCTGACGGGTTTGTCTGAAAAGCCAGTCTTGGCGGGGGAGTTAGTCGGTGCCCAGATGCTCTTCTCATTCATGTCCCTCTTTATCAGAAATGGAAACAGAGAGATTCTCCTGGAAACCCCTGCCCCATAAAGGGCCCTCTCGAACACACTGGGACCGATTCCACTCAAAACGCGCTTGGTTTGCAGATGTCAAAGAATCTGCAGAGGGTGTCACTGAAGATCCAGCCTTAGCCAATCACCGCCTCATTGGGTGAAAGTTCCAGCGCTCAATCCAGGACCACGCTCTTATTGGCCAGGCAGGGGCTCCCACCGAGCTTTGAGTAACTTCTTGGTTGTGCAGGCTGCAGGCAATGTTGGCATTGTAAATTCCTCCCTGGCAGCCTCCTTCACGAGGTGAGGGGATCACTTCGGCTGCCTGCTGTGGACAAAGAACATCAAATTACAGCATCACGAGTGCTATTGTTGCCTGTGGTGGTCTCCCTGCCCAAGTGGGACCGCTTTGCAGAGACCAGACGCGTATCGCAGCTTGAGCTGAAAATGCATTTGTTGCAGCTTAGGTTGAATTATTTTTCGTTTACCCTTTCTTCTACACGCGCCTGATGGTTGGTGAACCTAATCATCAAAAAAGTGTACTGCTCTTCTGTCTATTGTACTGACTTAACCTCTTCCACCCAAGCCGGCATCTGTGTGTATCATCAATAAAGTTGTGTGCTTTGATTGGCAGAAAAGAGCCATGGTCCTTGTCCTTGAGTTTACAGTCTGCACGGAGAGAAGGACAAAAAAGGCACGGGTAAACGCCAGCTGACTGGGATGTCTGCTCCCTGGCAAATGCAGGCTTCTCAGTGCTCACAGGAGGCAGGGATAGAGAGGGCTGCACGCAGCGCTCAGAATAAATTTCAAGAAGAGGCTGGGGGCGGAGGTGGGGGGAGGTGAGGGGCACGATGGGGGAAGTTGGTGGAATTAAGGTGGATTGTTGAGAGGACTGAAAGAGAGGACACCCTTGGAGCAGGTAGCACCGTGCCCGGCACAGAGAAATCCCTTCTTAATGTGTTTTCCTTGACTGCTGGCCTGGAAAGAAAGATCAGAGGCCCTGGCCTTTTCCTTTGTCTGCGCATCCCGACGTCGGGGTGGGGACCGGGGTGGGGTGGGTATGGACGCTCTCCCAGACAGCGGGTCGCGTTTATTGCGCAATGATCGCGATGAACGCTGCGGCTTGCCCAGCACCTACCCCGTGTAGTTCTACGCCTCCTGCGAAGCCACGGGGAAACCTGCTTCCAGCCGTACTTCTCTCTTCCTTGGGATCCCCAGCGTTACTTCCTGGCAGAGTGAGACGATTGGCCGCTGCTCCCTTTGGAGGAAGCTCCTTTCTGCCGTATCCCCACTACCTTTGGCAGGACCCAGGAAGGGGACAGAGGAGCCCTCCATCAACTCCCCGCGGGGGTGAGAGGGCAGATGCTGAGGGTACTTGGCATGGCCATGGCCACTCCATCCATCCGTAGACACCTGCACACCCTCCATCTGAAGTCCCGGCACCTTGCCAGGAAAGGATGAGCCCCTGGGCGCAGAAGCACTCCATGGGTCAGGGCAGCTCGTTCTGCCCCGCCCCCACTTTCAACATGACCAGATCCCACCCAGCAGGTTTAGCCCCTGAATCAGCAAAGCCAGGTTCCCTGCACTTTTGTGATGTGTGTGTGTGTCAAGAGGTGGTCCCCTTCCCCCAATTCATGACGAATCCATTAAGCACATCTGCTTCCCTTGGGCAGGGCTGCTGCTGCGCCCTGTGTCCTCTCAGTCTCCCAGGGCTGCTCCTGTGGGTCACTGTGCCCTGGGCAGCGGCGATCTCTATGTGCTGGGTGTTCTGCTTGTTCTCTTTCACACAGAACAAAGCTTTCTTTTCTTGTCTTATTCTCCCCTCCCCCTGCAGCTTGGTTTCCAGGTGGGTTACAACTTTCCTGCTTGTACCATCTGCCCGGCAGTCCATGCCGGTCAGAGGGCCTGAGTGCCTGCTAGGTCCCCCAACCAACTCTGGGAAATCCTCCCACCTGGAATGGGGACCAGGCCTCTTCCCAGGCCCTGGTGCCTGGGATGGCCAACAAGTGACTTGCAGTTGCTGTGACACCCACCCCCCCTCCCCCACTGCTGGGGCTTCCTTGGCTGGCTGGCTCTGGGAGCCCTGTCTTGGTTCCTAAGAGCTGTCAGTCAGAAGGACCACCCTTTCTCCCAAGCCAATCACAGTTTGGCTGGGCAATCTGATTTCAAAGGGGATTTCCCTGCAAACAGCTCCTCATCCACCTTTTTTTTTTTTTTTGCAGTTGTGCTCCATCTCTGAGGCACTTGACACAGTGAGGCCACAGCTGAGTCCTAACTCAGGGAGCACCCCAGAGGCTTTCTGCTCATCCCCTGAGCAAGCTCTGTCACAGGAAAGTCCAGCAGCATCCAAGTGTCTCCACGGCATGGTCTTGGCCCAAGTCAAAACCCTGCTGTCCATTTTCTGGCACTGCCCTCTCGAAAGCGCTCACACACAGCCCTTCTGTCCTGCCCGTCATCCCTTGACTGTCAGGAGCATGCCTGCCTCCCAGGCATGCATGGCAAAAACACCTCCCCTTGTCCTTCCGTCTCAGCACTGGCAAGAGCACCGGTGCCCCCATTCCGTATGTAACGCAAACATAAATACAGCCCTGAGCTGTCAATCACAATACATACCTGCCTGCTGCAACCCAAAGACAGTCTTTCTGGGCTTTCCCGGGGCAAACATTGAGAAAGGTCAGCAAGGCTGAGCTTGCCACCTTCTGTGGGGAGTGCCCTGCCTTGATGGTGCTGCCCCAGCCTCAGCCCGTCTCTTGTGTCAGTCTGGAACTGCCACCACAGGCTATCTTCCACTTCCAGAAAGGGCCCTGGGCTTTGCTTCTCAGCTATCTCATGAGCCCGTTTCCATTTGGTGCCTGTAGGCACTGACTGACTTCCAGACCAACTTCAGGTGCCCTCCCCAGCCTGCTGCCTCTCCTAGGGATTTTATGGTTTGCCACCCCCACCCCACCCCTGCTCCAGGTGAGTGCACACAAGGTTGCAGACATCCAGCTTCCCGGCAGGCATGTCCAGTCTCAGACACTGCATCCTCACCGGGGCGCCATGTGTCACTCTCAAAGCAGTGTCCACCCCAATCCCCTTAGTTTTAAGGGCCACCCTGGACCCGAACAGCCCTCACCCAATCTGTCCGTCTGACGATGCGCAGCTCGGCTAAGAGTTAAGCAGCTGTGGCAAGGGGCTGCTCTTGCCTCTCTTCTGAGGGACACTGGCTGTTCTATGATGCAGATGGGCACCGCACCAGAGGCCAGCAGAGTGCTGCAGAGGGCCGGCCTTTGCCCCGCCTGTTACAGATGCCAGATGTGTCTTCTCACTGCTGCCACTTCCCTCCTCTCTCTGCTCATGGCCTCCTTTCCATCCCAGAAGTGGGTCCGTTTTTCCTTACTGCCTCTTGTTTTCGTGTGAGGCTTAGGACAGCCTTTCCCACTTTCCCATGAACACAGTCTCCTTGGCAGTTTTGTCATTCTTTCACACCTTTCTGTTCAGAGATTTGTCTCATGGATGTGCCTGGAATCTACTTTTGTGCAAGGTGAGAGACACATCCCTTTCCCTCAGGAATCTCTAACTGACTTGGAGCCTCTCCCTCGGCTCACTAGGTGGCCAATGGCAGATGGGGGGTGTGTGTGTGTGTGTGTGTGTGTGTGTGTGTGTGTGTGTGTGTGTG